TACCTAACGGCTACTATGACGTCATCTATGATATTTACGACGCTTTTTTTTATTTTTATATATATAAATTAACTCCTCCCTCCCAAGTCCTATAAATACCACCCCTCTCACATTTTATTTCTCACAACAAATTTGTCTCTCAAACTCTCATTCTCTCTAAACTTTCATACATATACAAATCTTTGGCCGTAGTTATGATTTTATCAATTTGTACATATCTTATAGAACTGTTGAAAATGAATATTACGATTTTGTTGTACTGTTTTGCTATCTCAGCTCTCTTCATCTATCAAACATCTCTCTCATTCCTTACTGTCACTGTAGATATCTCTGATGTTCCTTATCGGAAACAACACCATCTTTGACATTATTTTCACAGACGACAAGTCCGTTCAGTCTCTCTTACTCATATTCCCTTTCCTTTCGCTCTATTGGTTAATTTTCTCTAACTCTCATTTTCTGTTCCATGGCTATAAGTCGTGGATTAAATTATTTGATTATTGTCATTACATTCTGTGTTTATCTGTATCATTAGAGATCCCGATTGGTGATTAAATTATTTAAAAAATTTAGATGTTTTTGTTACACCAATTAGTGGATAGTTACATAATTTTTGGTTAATGTTATGAAATTTTGGAAATTAGTTACGACATTTGTGATTTTCTAGAATTTTAAACAATTTCGTTACGCCAATTAGTGATGCAGTTATGTATTTTCTATTTTATATCACAAAACTTTGTGACTTGATTACAATATTATGGTCTGTTTGGTAACTATTCCGTTTTTAGTTTTCAGTTTATATTTATAAAAATTTTAAAAGCTGTAAAAGGCCTGTCACCTTTCTTTATCCTTTTCATTACTGTAAAAGGCCAAGACCCTAGATTGAGAAGGGTGTACCAACTAAACTCTTCAAGATGAAAAAAATAAAATTCTCGAATCATAGAACATCGATGATAAAAGTAAACAAGAGGTTGACAATAACAAGACTCGCCACGTGGCATGCTCAGGGTGTTTGTTGGGTGCCACAACATTGGTAAGTACACTAAGGCTTGTTGTACTTTTTGCATTGAACTGAAACAACCCATTTAAAATGAATGACCCCAATGTGGCACCACACACACTGATTTAAACACATGAACCCAATAAAAACATTGAATACGAATGTGCCCAACACAGACAAATGACCTCGGTGTGGCACACCATACAATTGAACTGACATATGTACGCAACATAGCTATCCTAACACGCAATCACCAAAAACAAACCATGCCTTCAGAATTCCAAGAATGTCGACAGCGGAATTCCGATTCTCCGTCAGTCCGGCACACAAAGCACCTCCCACACACCCCGTCACAACAATCACAAAACCCTAACGTAATGGAGGAAACATCTTCTACTACAATTTTTGACTTGCCAAATATGCACAACTAATCCCACCAAAAACATCCTAATAGAAAAGGAAGGGTATAATTGACCACTAAATGTTACCAAATAAGAGAAATAGGATCAAACAGGAAGATATTTCCCCACTAATAGGACTAAGACCCCAAAACGCGTCTCCTGTGTAAGAGTGCTAGAGAATTGGGCTTGGCAATGTTGTTCACCAACCTTTCTTGTTTGCTTTGTCCAACGATGCATCACACAACTTGGGAGAATTTCAGTCATGTGTTCGCATTTCATCACAGAAATCATGTGGCTGCAAGGAAGTCCAAAGAACTCAAACTTTTTGCAGCTACATTTCATTATGCTAGTTGCGGGATGGTATGACACTTCCCATGTGGAACCAAATTCAGTGTACTTTGAAAATTTGTATATGCGATGATCGAACTCCTCTTTCCTTCCATCAAAAATCAACAATGCTTCCTCAATTATTTCATTACGGAACATTAAGAACAAACGTCTGGTAAAGATGGTTGCTGCATGTTTCTCTAGAGGCTGAAGTGCTGTGGTAAGACAAGGATCACTGTTGTCAGTTTTTGCCTCGGCATCCGCTTCTTTGTTCCGTAACCGATAAAGGGCCATGTCAAAACATCTAACAAATTCGAATAGTTTCAGTTTTCGTTTGAGGTGCTCATTGAAAAAAGCATGCATACCCTCACAACGCTGACTGCTCTTCATTCCAGCAAAAAAATGACCACGCAAATATGACTGAGCCCACATGCCTTTGTTGTTGTAGGTGTCTGATACCCACTTGTTATTTTGAAGGCCATATTTTCTAACCATCTTACTCCAAGCTTCCTCAAATACAACCTCATTCGCATCAAGATCCATGAGATGCTTGAAATGTCCCTCGAATCCATCAACTCGAACATTTCGCTTGGCATTTCTGTGCATATGCCAATTACATAGACGATGCTTGGCACTCGGGAAGACTTTTTGTATTGCCTCACGCATGGCCATATCCCCATCTGTCAACACTGACACCGGTCTTTTGTTATCCATGGCCTCTAACAACTTCTGCAAAACCCATGTGTATATTGCAATTGTCTCATCAACAAACAAGCTGTATGCAAATATGGTGGTTTCAAAATGGTTATTGACCCCGGCGAAAATAACAAAAGGTTTGTTATATGCATTCGTTTTATAAGTTGTATCGAAGACCAACACGTCACCAAATGCAGCATAGTCTAGGCGAGACCTTGAATCTGCCCAAAACAATTTGTCAAGCCGATTCTCTTGATCCTTGTCATACTTGTAAAAGAAGTAAGGGTCAGCATCAGCTTTTGCACATAAGTAAGCCAAAGCACACTCCGCATCACCATCCTTCATTTCTACTTTGCGCTCGGCTTGAATATAATTGTGCAAATCCTTGTGAATAAAGCCCACATTCGCGAAAGACCCAGATTGTTGCACCAACAAATCCATTATCTGGCTTGTCTTGACACCAACATCATGCAAAGTCTTTACTTGAGCATTGTCGGGGATCTTTACAAACCTATGCAATCGAAGAAATGGCACACATGGTGATGTTGCCAATGGATGGTTATGTTCCATGTTAAAGTGAGTGACAATGTATTTGCCTACATCCAGATTGTACCTTATGCGGAAATGAGCATCACAACCAACTCTAGTCAATGCCCTGGAAGCTCTTTTTCGATCAATACGGGCCAAGTGTTGCTTTGCTCTTTGGCCTTGCCTTGAGCATACCCATTTTCTACTAAGAACCTTTGTTGCCTGCATTGTTCGCGTGTCTTTCCTAATGCTAAATCCCACAACTTTAGCATATTGATTGTAGAAATCATTGGCATCCTCTTCTGAATTGAATTGCATTTCAAGAACCACATTCTTGGTTAAACTTTGAATAGGGTCATTTGCATGGGAACCTAATTCTTCTTTATTCCCACAAACTTCGTCATCTTCAAGCTTGCGCTCAAATTTGGTACATCCAAAAGGATCCATGATAACTACATCAAAAACAATACGAAAAGAATAACATTATCTTATAAAATGAATGAAAATTCCTAAAATCACATAAGAGAATTTTGTAAAAGAGCAAATAATAGACAAAAACAATAGTAGAATAATGTACATAGATTTAATGACATAGTTATTGAAAGCATTCAATAACTTGCCATTAATGACATAGTTATTGAAAATCAAAATAAATAGAGAATGATTCTGTAATCAACAATCAAAATATTGGTTGATCAATAGAAACACAATAAAATAGAAACAAAGAAAAGGAAAAAGGAAATAAATAAAAATATATGGAGACTCATTAAGGCAATTCATTTGGGTTCTTTGGTATTTTTCTTAATTGACTTGGGTTATTTTTAGGTATTTGGATTGCTCTAAAACACACCTGCAAGTATAACGTTATACACTGTCCAACTTATAGCAAATAACTAATCAAACTTATAACTTTACAGCAAAGAATTAATAAAACAAATAAAAATAAAATGAAAATAAGAGGGACCCATATATTTATGGATCACCATTCCAAGTAAATAAGAATCGAGAGAGTTCTTATAATTACAACACACATAAACATAGGGGCAAATTTTTTGATATACTAGGGGATATCCCTATCAAAAATTATTCAGGAAAAAGTGATATTATGTATATCCCTACCAAGCAAATTACTTTTTTTTAATATAAATGAAAATGGTAGTGAAAATAAAAACATCAATAGAAAGCAAAAGGAGGTTATACCCTCGAATGAAAAAAAAAATTATACACGTGTTCAAATGAAAAGGAGGTTATCTGTCCAAAAATTTATCTATATGTTCAAATGTTATTTATCTGTACACATGTCACGTACTTTTCTAATTACTTGTCTAAATATCACCTAATTATACACGTGTCACCTATTTGTCCCACCTTACCGCTACCAACCATTGTTGCCAGCTACTGCCATCCGCCAACCATTGGCAACTTTTTCAACAACTTTAGGAGTGATAAACAAACCAAACAACTTGAGCTCGACTTTTGTTCAGCTCATTAAAAACTCGTTCGAGCTCAGTTCGTTAAGTAAATAAGCCAAACTTGAATAGTTAATTGCTTGTTCGGCTCTGTTTGATGAATCTAAAACTACCAAACTACTTCAGGTCGGCTTGAGAAAAACTCATTTGATATCGACTCGAAAATTTAACGAACCAAAGTTGAACAAATTTTAAAATTCGCTAAAGTTATCAAAGCAAGTTATAACAATCAACTGTTCAGCTCGTTTATTATCCGTAAAGAGGGTTTAAATAGGACTACAACTATTTGTCTTCTCATTTTACACCCCCTCCATACCTTATTCTCTCTACTACTTACAACACAATTTTGGAAGCAATTATTATATATGTAGAATCACTTGAAAATAACATAAAATAAACACTCTAGAGGATTCATGCTTCGTCTGTGATGGGTGGCTGTAGGCAAAAATCTCAGTATAGAATTTTCAAATGTCTATCAAAATTAATGAATTTACTTGAACCAGACTCTCTTGTGATGTATTTGCCCTAGAGTTCTTTCTTTTCAAACATGTACATTTCTCTAGTCCCTCAAAATTATGTTTATTTTTGTCGTGGGTGGGAAGCAAAAGTATCAGTTCAGAATTTCCAGACATTTACATGTCATTCAACAAATTTGAGTTCAACCAAAAATGAATTCAATCTTTCTCTTGTGACATCATCTCCCTCTAAAAAAAAGACAGTACACCCGCAAGTATCCTACTATCAATTAAAATAAACAAACAAAATAAAAGCACACCCGCCAGTGCCCTGCTATCAATTAAAATAAACAAATAAATAAAAATGACAGCACAAATAAATAAAATAGCATACCCACCAGTGCCCTGCTATCAATTAAAATAAACAAATAAATAAAAAAAGACAGCACAAATAAATAACGTAGCACACCTGCCAATGCCCTGCTATCAATTAAAAGAAACAAATAAATAAAAAAAGACAGCACAAATAAATAAAATAGCACACCCGCCAGTGCCCTGCTATTAATTAAAAGCAAATAAATTAAAAAACACACCTACTAATGCAACCGCTAGAGACGAAGGGATGGAGGAGGTATAGCTTTACTTCTACGTTAAGATGGAGAAATTGAGGACCTATAACAAACAAAAACAGAACATTGAAATAGACTCTATAGCGATCCCGATTTTTCCTTCCTTTGTATACTGTATTCTAGACTTAGTTCCGTGGACTTGTTTTTGTATCATTATCACTTCTAGCCTTTCCTCTTTGTATTTGAATCTTGGGTTGTGATGGGCAGGTTTGAAACAGGTTGGTTGCACTTTGAAACCAAAAGGTGATGTCCAGATTTTGGCCTTCACGCTCGAGCGGAAGTTTTAACGCTCGAGCGGGCTCTTCATTGTTGCTTATCCGCTCGAGCGAGAGTTTTGACGCTCGAGCGTGTTTTTCCATCTCTCAGTACTTTACTCTGCCGTCCCTCCGCTCGAGCGGAGAGTTTGGCGCTCGAGCGAGTACCATCGCCTGCAAAACTTCTGGAAGTGTGCAATCGACGCTCGAGCGGCTCTTTTCACGCTCAAGCGTAAGTCTGTGTCTGACACTCGAGCAGGGAGTCGACTACATCAGTCCGAGATTTCACTTTTTGGATCACTTTTTGACCTACTTTTCTTTCTTAACTTTTAGAAAACCGCCCCTTGAGAGTCTCTCTCTCTTTCTCTCTCTTTAAACCTGCCTTCTCTCTAAAAATTGATC